ATCTTGATCTGGTCATTCTTCCACCACTTAGATCTCCTATTATAAGCTTCTTAGGATGATCTTTCTGAATTCTGATGGAGGGTCCCTTGTCTACTTTCTCAGTCTCTGCAGATTCAGGATTAACAGTGTTTGAGTCTATAGCATCTTCAGTATCATCATATAATGTTCCAAGATCTTCTGTAACATCTCCATCACTCATGGGAAAGAATGTTCCCATATCATTTGAGACATTAGCTTCAGTAGCTGAGTCATCAATCGCAACATGTATGAATTCCAACACAACTTTAGTTCTTGAGTTGAAGACTCTGTATGCTCTGCTATTTGTAGAGTATCCCATAAAGATTCCTTAATCACTTTTAAGATTCATCTTCCTCCTTTTCTCACGGTCAGCCAAAATGTAACATTTGCTTCCAAAAACATGGAAGTATTTCACAATTGGCTTCCTTCCTTTCCATAGCTCATATAAGGTAGCTGATGTGCCAGATCTGATAGTTACTCTATTAAGAATATAACAAGCATTATTCATGGCTTCAGCCCAAAAATGATATGGAAGTTTCTTGGCATGAAGCATGACCCTTTCACATTCTTGAATATTCATATTCTTTCTCTCAACCACACCATTCTGTTGATGGGTGATGGGTGAAGAAAACTCATGACTAATTCCCCCAGACGAACAGAAATCATCAAACTTATTGTTTTCAAATTCCTTCCCATGGTCACTTCTAATTCTAACTATGCCACAATCCTTCTCTCTTTGAAGTTTTTGGCACAGTTCTTTGAACACTTCAGACTTCTCTTTGATGAAATTCACTCAGGTGTATCTTGAGAAGTCATCCACCACAACATAAGCATACCTCTTTCCTTCGAGACTTTCAACCGGCATAGTTCCCATCATGTCCATATGAAGTAGCTCCAGGATTTCTAAAGTGGTCATATGTTGAAGCTTTTTATGTGACATCCTAGTCTGCTTTCCAATTTGACAGTCACCACAAACTCTTGCTTCATCAATTTTTAGATGAGGAATACCTCTGACAGCCTCCTTTGGCGGGACTTCCTTTATTCCCTTCAAGTGTAAGTGGCCAAGTTTCTGATGCCACATTTTCACCTCATCTTCTTTTGACATCAAGAAGGTGGAGGAACACGTTGTTTCAAGAGGAGTCCATAATTAACAATTATCCTTAGATCTGGCACCCTTCATGATAACATCCTCTTTATCATTTGTTACCAAACACTCAGATTTAGAAAAGCTAACTTTGAGACCCTGGTCACACAATTGACTAATACTTATTAGATTAGCAGTCAACCCTTTGACAAACAACACCTTATCTAGCCTAGGCTGCCAAGTATAGTCCAGCTTCCCAACACCCTTTATTTCACCTTTTGACCCATCTCCAAAGGTGACATAGCTAGTGGAATATGGTTTAATATCTTCCAAAAACTTCTTGACACCAGTCATGTGTCTAGAACAACCACTATCAAAATACCAATATTCTCTGGCAGAGGCTCTTAGAGAGGTATGAGCTATGAGAGCAACAATTTCATTCTTATGAATTATCCACTTCTTCCTTGCTTTAGCAACATCATTTCTTCTCCTGGACCGAGTCGCTGCTTTGGGGTAACCATGAAACTTGTAGTAGTAAGGCTTTATGTGACCATACTTACCACAATGATGACATTTCCAGTCCTGCTTTTTTCTTCCTGAGGAGTTCTTCTGAGGTCTTGGTAGATGTTGGGACATCTTACTTGACATCTTTCGATCCTTTTTTCTTTTGGGTTGAACATAATTCACAACATGCCTTTTCCCTTTATTCTATACTTGATAATTATAACCAAGTCCCTTAAGATTTCCAGCATTCCTTCCTGGTTGTAGAATTTCATCCAACACGTCTGAACTGCTATTGAGCATTCTTATATACTTCGTCATATTGTCAAGTTTTGAATTGAGCAATACAACTTCATCCTCCAGGTCAGAAATGGTAGCCAAGTGTTTTAATCTTTTGTCACGGAGTTTAGCAATAAGATCCTGTTGATCCTGCCCTAATTGAAAAATTTATGCACTTCTAATGCACAACTCCTTATAAGAAGTATCCAGTTCATCAGAAGTGAGTTCTTCAACATCTAATTCTCTGTCAGAATCATATACTCCAGTAAGTGCAAAAACATGTTTAGCCATTTTTCCTTCACTTGAGGATTCACCTTTAGACCAATATGTAAACAAGTCTTTCTTCTCTTTCTTGAGAAAGGTAAAACACTCAGCTCTTGTGTGTCCAAACCCTTCGCACTCACAATATTGGATTCCCTTACCTTTGTTGGATTTCTGATCATTATTGGTTCTTCTTCCAGAATCTTTCCTTCTGTTGATGCTGGATAACTGAGTCTTAACATTAGACCTTGACTTCTCATCTAGTTTTTTCAACATTTGGCTATACTATTTTTCAAGAAGCACCACAGCCTTGAACAAATCATCATTGGAATTAGGGTCACATTCATGTTTATTAGACACCAAAGTTATGCTTTTCTTCTTCTCAGATTTCTCACTAGTTGCCAGTTTAAATGTATGAAGTGATCCCATGAGCTCATCCATCTTCATGGTGTTTATGTCTCAGGCTTCTTCAATAGCAGTCACCTTCATATCAAATTTCTTTGGAAGAGATCTTAGAATTTTTCTAACCAACTTGGCTTCTGGAATATTTTCTCCTAGATCACTTGAAGTATTCGCTATATCAACAATGTTTGTATGAAATTCTTAAATACTTTCATCCTCTCTCATATTCAAATTCTCAAACTTGGTTGTGAGAAGTTGAAGTCTATATGACTTCACCCTAGAAGTTCCTTCATGCGTAGTCTTCAAAATCTCCCAAGCCTCATTGGCAATAGTATAATTCTTGATCAACCTGAAAATGTTCTTGTCCACACCATTTGAATAATGCATTACGTTCTTTGGAATTACCTTGAGCAAGCTTGTCATCTTCATCATCCCATTCTTCATTAAGCTTAATCATATCAGTAATCTTTCCTTCCAGATTTTTAACCTTTGGAGGATCTCATCCTTCAACCATATACTTCCAAGATTTACCATCCATAGACTTGATAAAGGCACCATGCCCACTTTCCAATATTCATAATTGGATCCATCAAGAATTGGCGGTCTATTCAATATTCCTCCTTCTTTGTCCATTGTACCAGAAAGTAACTTCCCTAAATCTCACCCAGATGCAGAGCAGGATGTCTACTTTTATATGAATTTAAATTCGAGTATGCAAATCTTAGATATCCTAAGAGATGTCGAGACACTTGAACTCTGCTAAGAACAATGACAAGAAGCAACACAATAAAAACTTACAGAAAGAAAACAAACACATAGTAATTGTTAACCCAGTTCAGCGAACAACAACACCTACGTTTGGGGGTTACCAAGCCAGGAATGAAATCCACTAGATAGTATTAATTCTAAGCCAAACAACCTCTGGTTTAAAACTTATCACTTAATCACTACCCATGCTTAATTTCTATCCAAGACTCTTCCTAGGTATGAGACCATTCTCAATTCTCTTTTAATCACAGTAGTGACAGACATTACAACTTAATATAAACAGTCCAGCTCATGTATCAACACAACACAAGAGAGGCTCATAAAATACAAACCCTAAACACACTAAGCAACAAAGTATGTTCCATACTTTTCTTAGGTTAAATCCATCCTATTTATAACCATAAACTAGACTGGATTTGAGCTTCAAAAATGCAGAAGTTCTATTACGTAGAATCTGCAACTGATTCTCCAAAAGAATAGTTTCTTCAATCCAAAGTTTCCTAAAGTGAGTCCACACTTTGAAAACGGCATCTTCAGATTCCTACAGAATCTCTGATTCCTCAATCTTGAATGCCACCTAGGATAAACAAAAATTCCCGAAATAATCTCAAATCTGGAAGTAAAATATCATAATAAAAAATTGAAAAGTAACAGACAAAGATGTTAAATCATCATGATAGGACATATCGTCTAACATCGTGATCTTCAGTTAGTTCTTCATGTTAGAACATCTTGTCCAACATCTAGCTGTCAAGTTAGTTTTACCAAAATTGATGCCAACCTCAAAAGCTTGGACTCATCAGTACCTACCACCATGTCTGTAATGAGCACCTAAGTGTTTTCAATGCTAAGCACATGAATCCTATATTATTCCCATGACTTGTATTTTAGCCAAGCGTTATTCAACGTTTTCACTCGTTACTATGTAGAAGTGATTTTTCCTTGGTAAGGAAAAAAAAATTGGTTTTCTCCCCGGTTGAACTATAATCTGAAGAAAAAGATTTAGCAAGTCATAGATATTCAATCTCCAACAACAATATTTATGTATTTTCTTGAAAACATGCTACTTTTCTATTAGACATAAACGACTCATCTAGAGAGGGCGGTGAATAGATCTCCAAATAAATTTTTTTTTACAAAAAGTGTTTTAAAAAACAATGGCTAGCGGAAGTAACTTGCATTGATTCGTTTAAACCGAATCTCTATCGAAAAGCCTGAATATGAGTATATAAAAAAATCGAAGATAATGATAAGCTATATAATCAATAAGTTTCAATCACAATCTATTGGAAACTACTCAACAGAGTAAATTCCATGGTTTAATGATTGACAACAATTTTGCTAAAACATGGTTCACAACAGGATGGTATGTGTAATGTTGTAATATGCTGATCAGCTCACCTTAAGAGAAGATGTCCAAACGGATGTTGTAACATGTTATACCAAAACATTTGTTTTGCCTGTTTTAATTTTTGACATATTTATTTTAATTCTGTGATCCTTCTTTTGGAATAAATAATCACAAGCTGCCATAAATCTTCAAAATGACACTTCTTTATTGAAGATCTAAGTGAATTCCTGGTTGATCTTTCTTGTTCAAGACGTTCTTGCAATTTCCTTATTCTAGGTGCAAGTCCACACACAAATTCTTGTGCACGTTCTCTCTCACTTGTCAACCCCTCGAGCATCACCTTCCAATTAAAAAATCTAGAATATCAGCATAATCATTCGTCGTGTACACGCCAGTACGTTGTGCCACCGTAGAATAATGATCAAAGAGTACCGAATCTTGCTCGTCTTGCATCAAGTGTGTAGGAAATGTAATCTTGCGGCGCATTATATTTGCTATAGCAATCATGGTTTCTGTGGGATCTACTTCGAGAAGCTTCTTGATAATCTTCACGTATGCGTTCTCGTGGCGCTTCTCGTCCACAGCAATGGTACCATATATGCGCGCAAGTGTAGAATCACCTCTCTCTTTAGCCATTCGAGCTATGTTACCGTGTGTCACATATGTGGCTCTCTCTTGGAAAGATGTGTACACAAAACCCATGTATGGTTGGTTTTCAGTACCTAAATCCTACGCCATGAACAATAAATTAGTTTCATATTTAAAAAAAAAAAGTGCACTAAGTATAAAATTTTTGTGCATGCATATGTTCGTGAAATGACATATAATATATTACCACGCCGGCTCCAATCAAATAATGGATGGTTTTTTCAATCATGTGCATGTCAGCTCGACCAGTTAGATAGAGATAGGTTTTAAGTAAATCTACATGTCTATTTTCTTCAGCAGTCCAAGATCTTGTCCATATAGCCCATGGTGTCAAACTCGGACCCGTCTCATCTTCAATACCATCCAATTCATTCACCCATATTTGGTACGGAGGCAATGCTTCCTCAGTTATCATGCCACCCACCAATACTACAAGATTTTGATCTGGAAGCTCGGCCGTTCGATCTTTCAGGGCCTTCACTTGATCAATGAACTCATCCGCGGGTAGCGACGAGTCTGGCAATAAATCATGGGGTTGCGAGCTCTCCTCCACGGGTTTGATGAGTGGTAAAGGACTTTGCACTGCCCATGTTTCTAGTGATTTGAACACTTCTTTTTTCTTTGATGGCATCGAGTGTGTCTTTTGAGATTTTAAAGAGATTTTGGATGGGAAGTTTTGGTGACATTATAGTGGGATCCTTGTAAGTGCTAGCCCTTGGGGAGGACGTATTGACAACACCATATTATTCATGTTCAAGAGAAACCGTTGATTTGAAATAGAGAAATTAAGCTACAATTATATAGGAACAGGACTAACAAACATGTCATGTGTTGCAAGTTGTTTCTAACTAAGCAGTATTTAAAATGAATCTCAACCGTATATAGGTGGACTATTTTAATTTTTAATAATAAATAATAAATGTCGTAAAAATAATTCAAAATGAAAATAAATAGCGTACATTTTAGAATTTCTTAGGGAAGATGGTAGATGTTACTAGAGGTTACTTTAACATGGAATATGAAGGGACATTCTTTTAAGAGTCGTGATCGCACTATTTAGTATGTCTAAATGTTTCGTGACTGCAAGTGCGTGATCGTGTAGTTTTAAAAGATTATTGAACCCAAAGGACCAAGATTCGATCTACCGCTATCTAATGCTACTATTTAAAGATAAAGCTAATGGATTTCTAAATTTAGAATGCAAGAAATAAAATAAGTGCAGAATTAAAATCAAATTAAATTAAGACAATGCAAAATATCGGTATATAATCCTGTCAATCATCGGAGGTTCGGTAGTTCGTGGGCGTTTAGTTTAAAAAGAGTTGTTATTCTGTAGAAAATACTCATTTAAAAGAACTTATCTCACACTCTCGTGGTATTGACTTGGACTATGCTCTCAAATCAGAATGCGGCTCTCGCTCTCTCATTTTTCATTTAAAAACACTTTTTGAAAACAAATAAATCATAATTAACCTTAAAGCGCTCTCGCTGTATTTAAGTCTAATGTTCAGTTTCAGCTATCCGTTTAAGACCTCAAACTCTCGCTTTATTGATCTTAACCTTCGTTACTTTCTCATTCTCGTGACAAAAGTTATTAATTTGGCAAAAGAAACAGAGACCAGAAGAATTGATTCCATTAAATTTACGTCACGATTTACCTAACCCCCTCCGACCGATCGTAATTACATACCGATACTAAGAGGTTTAGCCAGACATGGCTTTCATGATATTACTAAATCTAATCTTAATACTAAACAGAAAACAGAAAGAATGCATAAAAGTATAATGATAAAAATGAAAGCAGATAAACAAAACTTGGAAATTTGCAGAACAGAACTTGAATTTGATTATAAAGGTTGGCTTGCAGTTTGGTACATTATTACAACCTTTTTGAATCAATCCTAAAACTAAATGGCAATTGTTTATCAGTGTGAAAAACAATTTCCTTACAAAAACTCTCTAAAAACAATGTAAAGAAACTAAACAGAATGCTGGAAAAAAACTAAAACAAAAACAAAAAATATAATGCGTCCTCTTTTTCCAAAACTGCCTTCTCTTTTATACTGTTAGTGGGCAACGATTACATGAATTTGAGGCTTCAAACGAGGAGAAAAATCAGGAGAAGATATAGTCAGGCAGTTGAGAAAAAGTAGGGAGAAGGTGAGAAAAATCTGGGGAGGAAGTGGCTGGCGCCACTTTCCGTTCTTGTAGGAGTGGCAGTTGCCACTTTCTAATACTTAGGAGTGGCACTCGCCACTCACTCTTCATGTGGCAGCCTCCACTCTCTTGTCTTTCCTTAGTGTCACTTGGTGTGTGGTGTCCCCCACCCTTTTTTTTCTTTCTTTTCTCTTTCTTTCTTCTTCTTTTCTTTCTTTGTTATTTTCTTCCTCTTTTCTTTCCATTTCCTTCATTTATTTCTCCTTTTATTCTGTTAGTCCATATTTATGGTAACCTACAAGACGTAAGAAAATAAAGGCATAATCAAAGATAAATCAAATAAAACAGTAATAAAAACAGATAAAATTCATGTAAGTCAAGTCAAATATCCGATATAATTTCGCGCTATCAAACTCTCCCATACTTGAACCTTTGTTTGTCCTCAAGCAAATAAAACATATGCGTGGAATTTAACACGACATAATTCAGATCATACATCGTTGCGAGACTTTCGCACGAAAGATAGGTACTGGTTAAAAATACTAAGGATACCGTAATGACACGAATTTACTAAGTGTAATAAAAAAACTCCCTCTCTGTGCAGACAAGTTCGAATCATGTTATTATAACTCAGCCTATTCATTTTCACCTATTTTTCATTCTCGCGCAATCACATTAAGCTCGTTATCCCCGCGCACCCATGGTAAGTAAACCGGTTAGTATTCATTGATCTCTTTTTTTCAAAACTTATTCACATTCTTTTTCTTGTGTATTTTTGAATTTCAAGAGTCTGATCTGTTGGGTTAAATGATCGGGTAAGGACCACCTAATTTAGTAAGAGCATATCCTTCATTCACTTTAATAATTCTATTCGATTCCTTTATTTTTGAGATCAAACACTTATTTGCATCGGTTTATTACTTAGGTTGTGCTTCAGGATGATGTTGACTGCCAATATAAACTAACCAAGAGTTTACTCTAAAATTTTAGGCTTTGGCATAATAAGTACTCAAACTCATCAGTGAAAAAAAGGGGTTCAAGGTGTCAAGACGGTACCGATATTATTAATACTTTCCCAAATCTCTCGAACTAAGTCTAAATCAAGCAATATACTTTCTGAGTCAGTGTCATGCTTTAAACCAACAGTTTAAAAGTTTTTGTTATGGCTCAAGAATTTGGAAGAATCCGACAAATGACGGAAACTATCTAAAGTGACTCGACAACACATGAATTTATTTTATTAGCACTAAAACGAAAAGATTAAGCGAAAAATTTAAAATTTTAAAATCTACCTAGAAAACAGTAAATAAAAGGGGTAAACAGTAAATATAAAAGCAGTAAAGCTTCCTCTCCCACACTTAAATCGAGCATTGTCCCCAATGCAATGAAATAAGGTAAGAAAAGAAGGTGGCACTTGGAAATTTTCTATCTGCGGCCTCTGCCGCGAGTTCGTGTCCGCCTGCCATTTCCAGTGTGGTCAGGTGGATCTTCTGGATCTACCGCACGCACTGATAAGTCCATCATCTCTGCGATCAATCCTGACATGTTGTGTTGTTTGCTTTGCATCTGTTTGAGAATCTGCATCATCTCGGCCTGCTAGGCCTCAATGCTCTGAATCCTCTGATCTCGCTGAGCATCTAATTCGCTCCGTCGTAGCATTTCAGCATATAATTTGTCTAGAGTGGCAGGTGTGTCTTTGCTTTTTCTTGATCTGCGCCTTGAGGACGTACCTTCAACATTATCATAAGAGACACATGTAGTGTGTGTATGTGCGTTAGTGTCGTCCTCGTTAGTAGTAACATTCTCAGGAATGTGCGTGGGGACTGGGTCATCGATATAACAATAGTTATAAGGGTTATGCACATCCGTACGAGCAGGGTTTGGTAGAATAATATTCAGGAACATTTGGTTATTTATCATTAAATCGAAGTTCCCGTCTCTCCATCTCCTCAGCATTTTCATACTCCTAATCATATCTATATCTATGGTTCTTGGCGGCTGTTAGATCCCAATTAGATTAGTTATTTGACTTCTTTTTAGTAGTATTCAAATCATTTTCATCTAATAGTATTTGATTTAGTGGTCAAATTTGTTTACTTTCATTTTGATGAAATCCAAGTGAATGGTGTGTGTAATGTTGCTGTTAGTATGCAGGATTGACACTAATAAGAGCACCTTGGGATCAAGACAAAGCAGCTTGGAGAATGTTGCAAATCAAGGCATTCGCCTGGCGAAGCTCAGCGAGTGCCAGCGAATATTCGCCTGGCGAGTGTTGGCGAGCTAGAGCGAATAATTCAGAATTAACTCCCAGACTTAAATGATAGGAAGTTCGCCCGGCGAAGATTCTAGCGAAGCTTCGCTACCTTTTGCCTGGCGAAGGTGCTGGCGAAGAAGTGGTAGCTTTCCTCATGCAGATTCCAGTAGCAAAACCACCCAAAGTTCGCCTGGCGAGTGAAGCCAGCGAATGTTCGCCTGGCGAGTGAATTGTTCGCTTGGCGAATACACGATACCTCAGAGGGCGGTTTGCTAGCCAGAGGCACTTTGAAGTTCCAAGTTATTTTTGGTTCGCCTGGCGAAGGTCATGGTTCGCCTGGCGAATGTGCGCAGACAGAACTTCCTTTTTACTTTATTAGTTGCTTTATATATCCCATACTTGGTACTTTGGAAAAAATCATCTTGTAACATTACAATAGAGCTCTAGAATCCTAAAAACATCAGTTCTTCTTCATTTTTGCTGATTTTGTGCAATCAAGGAGAAGTGGAATCACATCCTTCATCGATTCTTCGAAGTGGATGTTCTTCATCTTCTCCATTTTCTTCTACTCCAAGCTACCATGAGAATGAGTAGCTAAGTTCATCTTGTTGTCAAGGTTAGATGTAGGTAATCATCTAACTTTGTATGTGTATGGATGATCCTCATTTGTAAACTCTTGGATGATTAATATATGTTGAAAACCTTATTTCATTTACAATATTTTGTGTTGGTTAATGATTGAGAAATATTCTCCAACTCTTGAACTAGGTTTTCATCCTTCTATTTTCTTGAGCTAGAGATAGTCTTGGATGGTTTTGTTCACTTAAAATGTTAAGCTTTAAAGTTGTCATTTTGATAGATTGTGTGAGAGATCAACAATGGATCAAAATGGTAAACATCACAATATGAGTTAGAGATAATCATATTGAGAGGATATTGCGAATGTGTTGATCATTAAAAAGAGTTTATGAAATGTTGATTGGAAGTATGCATACAAAGTGATTACCGAAACCTAGCTTTGGCAATCTTTATTCAAACCGACAAACCCTAATTTTTACCGTTGTTTATAACTTTTTATGCAAGATACCGACTTTAAAAGCAAACCCATTTGATATTATAAAACTACGAATTTAACAACTGTCGAACGGTGGCAAAATCTTATATTCCCTGTGGAGACAATAATACAAACCCGACACTTTACCACTGTTATAATAAAATGG